TGACTCTCAGCCCAGGCTGGGTGGTGAAGCCTGGCAGTGGGGAAAGAGCAGCCCCAGCCCATCCCTTCTCCCCTTATCTGTATATAGATATACTATATATTCTCTTGTTTTGTTCTTTCTCTGTCAGAGAAGTCACCGCAAGATGCTGCCGAAGATAACCCCTTTGTCCTGCGTCATTCTTCCTCTTTCTTCTTGTTTTCCCCTTGACTCTTTTATTCTTATTATGTTACTATTACGATTATTGGTTATATGCGGTCCCCGGTCTCCTATCCCTATACCATCAACCATGTGCACCCCTTGCTAATTTAAAATCATCTGGCTGGAAGGCGAGGCCATGAGAGCTACAGAGAAAGGTTTCAAACTCGGATTTACCTTTCACTCTGAGATATTCAATGCTAAATGTACCTTTCGACCTTAAGTTGTTTTCTGTTCTTATCAATTCAGTCCAGGACTAGAGAGGCCACATTACCAAGTAGAAGGACCTCAGACACTGCTTGGCAGCCAGGACTTTGCAGGTTTTACTCAATGGTGCTAATTTTGTCCTCTGAGCTCTTCCCTGTCCCTTCATATTTTCAGTCCTTACTTCCGTTGATCCTCATTCCCCATTAAGGGCAAGAGTGATGGTGGTGGTGCCAGAAGGTGACAACAGAACCCTAGTGGAATAAGAGGCCTGGGTTGGGTGGAGTAGAGTACTGCAGCGGGGCAATGGAATGTAAAACATTCAGGAATTGGTATATAATACTATATCAAATCAACGTCCATTGGCTTGTTCCTAAGCTAGCGGTTCTCAACCTGGGTCAACCTTTCACAGGGGTCGCCTAAGACCATCGGAAAACACATATATAATTACATATTGTTTTTGTGATTAATCACTATGCTTTAATTATGTCCAATTTGTAACAATGAAATTGGGGGTCACCACAACATGAGGAACTGTATTAAAGGGTCGCGGCATTAGGAAGGTTGAGAACCACTGTCCTAAGCCATTCTAGAAGGGAGATAGGGCGGGTCTGAGTTAGAATCTGTGGCTGTGGTAGGAATGAGGACAACTATTCAGCATAGCCTCGGCGTTTTGGAGATGTTTTCTTATCTGCATTTACAGATTAGTCTTCAACCCCCTTTCCCACTCAGCAAATATTATGTTGTCCTCCCTTTGGTTGTTGGCTCAACTCTCCTACTCACCTTATTTTCTTCCGTCATTTTCCGGCATTCTCAAGATAGAAAAGTAACCCGTGATCACTCTGCGTGTCATCATGTCCTAGGGCGGGACGGGAATCTCTTTCCACCGATCATAGCAGAACCAACCGGAATTGGTGGTAGGAGGGTGGGGAAAGGAAAACGGAGCTGGCATAGACACAGGAAGGAACTCTTTCAGTTCTTTAATCATCTAGGCAAATGCTCTGTTGGCATCTAGACCATGGGGCTGAAACGCGTACAGTGGTCTTTGGGAGGGGTGAAGGAGCTTGGTAGTGTGGAGTAAACAATCCAGAGGGGAGAGCTCAGTGAGAACCAAGGGAGACCCCTCAGAAAGGGTGTGGATAACTTCTCTCCTTAACAAGGAGCGGCCATGATTTACTGCCGCAGGTACTTAGTATATATTGCTATTCACTGTTGAGTTGTAGTTATGGGTGGGAAGAACAGTTTTACTTCCATTTTTATTTCTCTGAATGTTTAGTTTCTGAAAGCTACAGGGCATAATGTATGGACTGGACAGGGCCACTCTCTCTGTGATTTCTGCTTTTTTGTTCATATTTCTTTATTTACTGATGATTTCCAAAAGATTTAGCTTTCCACTCCTGCTTTTCCCCCCTCTCCCACCCCCACCTACTTTAGAAGGGGGTTCTGTATGAGAGTTTGTTGAAGATGTCCAGTGAGGCTGAAGTAAAGGGGCAGGAAAGGGCAGTTGACTAAAGAGCACTTTATTTCTTTGAAGTTCTTTGTAAGAAATGGGGGTGTGAGTGGCTTGAATCCCCCATTGTGTTGAAGGGCAGTTAGTGGGGTTGAAGTATGACATAATATTTTAAAATTGGGGGAAGGAGAATTTCTCATAGAGGGTGGCACAATGCCTTTGCCCAGTGTTTCTATTTTGGGCATCTTTCTTATTTCTTCCAATCAGGGTGCCTCCTGCACACAACTTCCTATCTGTTCTCCCTAAGATGCCCCCTTTACATGTTATCACTCCTCTTTTGTAAACTCCTTTTCTACTCAGATTCAGGCAGAGTTTGCAAGGGTAGACTAAATCATCCATGTAAATGTCCCTTGTTTAGAAATCGTCTGTGTCTTAAAGAAAACTAGTCTCATTAAGAACTCTGGTGGGCTGCCAGAGTAACTGAAGTTTGGGGCTAGGGCTGGAGATTGGCTGTCAGGCCTCCTTGGACTTAAGGTCCCCTTCACTAAACTCAGCCTTGCTCAGTGGCAGAGGAAAAACCTGACCCTCTTTGGGCCTGAGTTCCCCATTTCCCACCATGAAATGGAAGAATACTACTTTTTCTTGTTGGTTCAGCATTGCTGGGCTGGAAGTATAGTCATTGTTGTTGTATTGGGTGATGTGTGCAAAACTGCAGGAACTCACTGCCTGCAAGATGAACTACGGGGGAAAGTGGAGGAGAGGGACAGAAGGAGCAATTAATTGGTGTAGATCCACCCATCCCTGCCTTCCTCTCTTTAACCTCTATGTTTCTGGTTTGGTGAGTCCTTCCTACCATTCATAATGCTTTGCATTGGTGCAGGCTGGGAAGGGGGGTATGGTCTCACAATTGTTGTTGTTGTTTTTGCATGCTTTCATAATAAAAACCAAGAAGAATGTTTACGGTTCTATCTTATTGACGCTGGTCTCAAGTTTCTTCTATGCCAGGATAGGAAGGGAATGTGAAGTATTTGTTTTCAATTGGTCTTTTGCCCCTCCCCACCTCATACCACAGGGTTTGATTAGTAGACTATTTTTTGTGGGGGGGGGGGGAGGGGAAGATGGATGAGAGACAAGAATGTACAGTATGCCATTAACGTTCTCATTTTCAAATGCTATTAAAAATAGTGAAATATTGTTGAGAGGGACAGTCACCCTTTGCAACTTGGTGTATGGACAAGGTTGCCTTGCTTTAATGCTGGGATATTTTAAAGATTAAATGTACTACATTTTGGGGAGGAATTTGGTCATAATAAGGGGTACTCCCCAGAGTTTTTTATAAGCAATGAGGGAATTTCAATTTTAGGAATATTTCAGATTACGTTTCCAAGGTAAATGGTAATCTAGAAGAAGTCCAGCAATGCCAACTATTCATTCCTCCTCATATCCTGTACTCTAACCTCAGGAGTTTGGGACTTACACCTAGGGTCTTGGGAGATTTGTTGGGATTTCCACAAGCCTAGCTAACTGCTAATACAGCAAGACTACAGCTATTCCCAACAAGATTTATTTGCTGCATATCTAGAGATTATGATATATTGAGTATCACACAATGAAAAGAATCCACGAATCTCTGAGTCTTACAAGGAATCACGAGAAAGAAAGCATTTATTCCCATCAAATATATAAACAGATTAAAATAAAAATTAGCATTGCAAATATACACCATATTAGACATTACCTTACAAGTGAAAGAATTCCTAGTTGTTTGAAATTTCCTGTATAATACTTTATAACAAATTTGTAGCCCAGACCCTCTCTCAACTTCTAATTTTCTATTTTTAGATTAAATTATTGTATTCAGCATAGATGAAGCTATATTTAAGTACTAACAAACCTGAAATTTTAAAGGTTTAACACATGCAGGCTTATATATAGAACAAATGAGAAGGTAATAGGGAGTTGAACAGTGCTTTTATAAAATGAAAGGATAGATGGAAAGCCATATGTATGTATGTATGGTTGGAATGGAGAGAGAAAGTGGAAGAAAATATGTGGTCATGAACAAATGAAAGTGTGATGGTTAATGAATATTGGAACTCTGGATAAACAAGAAATATGAATATGTGCTTGGATAAAATTCTTCATTTTGCAAAATCAGAAGTCATTTTATCATTATCTACAAAAATGATCAGCATAAGTTCATGACTTAGAAACATCATGGCAAGTATCAGAAGGAACATCTAAAATTGTGCAACGGTTATTTCAGAAATGGGAGTGGGAGGGCAGAGTGTGGCAGGAAACTTGTCATATTTCATTATAAACCTTGAATGGCTTTAAACTATGTGTATGTATTACTTTGATAAAGTTTAATTTAGAAACCCAAAGATGTATACATCTGGTAATTATAACATGAATGATACCTGTAGTCATGTTTTAATAAGTTTGATGGTTTTCTTAGAGGGTACTCAGTTGTTTTTTGGTGGTTTTAAACTTTTGACATTAGAGGTTAGTAAAGGTACAGATTCTAATATGAAAGAAGACTTAGGAGCAGAAGAGAAATAAGGGAGTTAAGGCATTTAAGACAAAGAGTGGAAGGCAGATGGCTCTACCAATAGGCAAATAGAGAAAACAGGTAAGAGAACTCCTCAAAGGGCAGCTTACATTACACATAATGAGTAAGTTGTTAGATGCCTTAGTAGTCTGTGTTTACATGAGATCTTATTTAGTTGCGATAAAGGAAACTTGGAATTGTGTCCTGTATCCATGAGTATTCCAAATAGGAAGTGTCTGGCATTGTACTTGCTTCAGACTCATACATCCTTGTTTTCATAGACTATTTCTTTTTCTTTTTAAAAAAATATATATTTATTGATTTCAGAGAGGAAGGGAAAGGGGGAGAGAGAGAGAAACATCAATGATGAGAGAGAATCATTGATAGGTTGCCTCCTGCATCCCCCCCACCCCCCAACTGGGAATCAAGCTTAAAACCCAGGCATGTGCCCCTGACAAGAATCGAACCCGGGACCCTCCAGTCTGTAGGCCTAGGCTCTATCCACTGAGCCAAACTGGCTAGGGTCATAGACTATTTCTTTAAAAAAAATTTTTCTATTTCACTAAATGTATTGGGGTGACATTGGTTAATACAGTCATATAGGTTTCAAGTGTACATTTCTATGATACATGATTTGTATATTGCATTGTATGCCCACCAACCAAAGTCAAATCATCTCTGTCACCATATGTGGCCCCTTTACCCTTTACTACCACCCCCAACCTGCACCTTCTCTTTATTTAAAACCATCCCCACCACCACCAACAGTATAACAATAAAGCCATAGAATAAATGATCACCTTTCACTTAGAGCTAGGATAATTGGTTTTATAATGAACCTGGAAGGGAATTTCGATATACTAAATAAAAAATTTAAGGATGGAAAGAAACATTTTACAACAGACTAGATTCTCATTTATCTCAGGTGGCTTAGTTTGGGATAGAAGTAGATTAATTTGTGCATTGTCTCTCAGACGTAGGTTTCATCAGAAACAAGAGAACTTGTTTTCAAGTTAGGATGGACCAGAGAGTTTCCAGGTGATGCTGATGCCACTAGTCTGGGACCACACTTTGAAGGCCTCAAGATTGAGTCTTTGGTGTTTTCCGAAATCCCTGTTCACCATGTCCCTTGCTCTTTTAGAAACATGTCGCACTTGGTGAATATCTAAGAAACTCTGCTTGAGTCAAGTGCTTGGGTCAAATGCTCCAGATTCTCACACAGCTGTACTGCTGTTTCTTCCATAAAAGCCTTTGCTTTGGGTACAACTGGTAGAATGTGTGTGCCCCTCGCTGAAAGCTGCCTCCAGAATGCCCTGCACAGACTGCCTTGCTTTCTTCCTAAAATTTTTCCCCATAAGGGCATAGAGGAAGGGATTGAAGCAACTATTCGCAGATGCGAGGGCAATGGACACATGGTCCCAGGATAGCAGAGCTTCCTTCAAGGGAGTCTCTGAGCCAATAAACAAAAAGAGGACTCCAAAAATGTGGTATGGGGCCCAGCAGACAATGAAGACAACCACCACCACTATGGCCACCTGGAAGGTTTTGCTCTGAGCCTTGATAGAGCGACCCCACATTTGGAAGATAATGAGACTATAACAGGTCACCATGACAATACAGGGCAGCAGGAAACCAATCACTAACCTAGTGATGGTTATTATCACCTGGGGTGTTGCAACTTCATTGTAATATTCAATGTCACCTTCAGTATAGTCCTGGAAATCTTGTGATGGCTCAATTGTGTATAGGGCATTACTAGAGGTACTAGAGAAAAGCTCTAAATTGGTAGAGAGGAAAGCATCAGAGTCATGCGGTGAGTTAATTCTGTGATCTTCAATGGGAAGGCCAATGGGGATTGTTGGGGAGGCCTCATCAGCAGGTTTAGTTAAATTATAATATGGATGTTGATCAGATAATCTAGTTGAATCCACAGGAACTGAATCTCCAGGAGGTCTTTGAAATGTTTCAGCATGGAGGAGCGTGGTACTTGTCCAAGGATGATCATTTCTTTGTGAAGAGAAAGCATCTGACCTGTCAACCAATTCTCCAGGCAACTGAACAATGGGGTTGTCAAGAGATGCATTTTGCGGTTGATCATAAGTGTAGTATGAATAATCTAATGAGCCACTGGTACCAAAATTGTAGCCACACATAGTATGGTTGTGTATGGTGAACATTTCCCGGTACATGAACACAGGTATACACATTGCAAAAGCCACCACCCAGATACATCCACAGACAATGAAGGCTGTCCTTACATTGCGGTGATTCTGGCACCAGATGGGCTTGAGTACCAAAAGGCAGCGGTCCAGGCTAATGGCAGTCAGTAGGAAGACGCTGGCAAACATGTTGAGGATGATGATGGAAGGAATGAGCTTGCATAGGAGCCAACCATAAGGCCAGTGTCCTTTGAGAGCCAAGTGAACCAAGGAGAAGGGTAAGGAGAGGCAGCAGAGAAAGTCTGCCAGTGTGAGATGGAGAAACCAAACAGTGTTCACGGTCCACTTCATCTTTAGGCCAGCCACCCACAGCACCAGCCCGTTGCCTGGCAATCCCAATAAGAAAGTGAGGCTGAGAATGACCATGGACAGAATTACTGGGGGTTCATACCAAGGCTGGGAGTGTATGTCAGTTGAATTGGTCTCATCCGGGAAATACGCCATTGCTAAATTTCTGCAAAAAGAGAAACAAACATATTTAAAGTAACATTATCTTTTTAAAAATGGGTATCTTGGAAATCTAACCTTCCCACATAATGATGTAGAACTGCACAGGCCCTTATACTGTTTTAGTTTATATTCCTTGATTTCACATTGAATAACACAAAACTTTCTCTGATAGACTATTTACTTAATTATTATTATTATTATTTTTTAATATATTTTATTGATTTTTTACAGAGAGGAAGGGAGAGAGATAGAGAGTTAGAAACATCGATGAGAGAGAAACATTGATCAGCTGCCTCCTGCACATCTCCTACTGGGGATGTGCCCGCAACCCAGGTACATGCCCTTGACCGGAAACAAACCTGGGACCTTTCAGTCCGCAGGCCTACGCTCTATCCACTGAGCCAAACCGGTTTCGGCTATTTACTTAATTATTAAAAAAATTATATATATATATTTGATTTTAGAGAGGAAGGAAGAGGGCCAGAAAGATAGAAACATCAATGATGAGAGAGAATCATTGATTGGTTGCCTCCTGCATGCCCCACACTGGAGATCGAGCCTGCAACCCGGGCCTGTGCCCCAACCAGGAATCAAACCATGACTTCCTGGTTCATAGGTGGACACTCAACCACTGAACCATGCTAGTCAGGCTTGGATAGACCATTTAAAACCTACTGTATCTATTTAAGTGTGTATCAAAATAACCTAATTTGAAAGTTTATATCAATGTAAATTTCTCCCTTTTTTTTGGATTTTTAATCTCTCATTCTCCACTGATTACTTTCCTTACTTAATATTTCCTATTAAAAACAAACAAATGAGTCTAATGGACAAACAATAACTTTTAATTTTTTAAAAAAATATATTTTTATTGATTTCAGAAAGGAAGGGAGAGGGAGAGGGAGATAGAAACATCAGTGTTGAGAGAGAATCATTGATTGGCTGCCTCCTGCACACCCCACACTGGGGATTGAATCCGCAACCCAGACATGTGTCCTTGACTGGAATTGAACCTGGGACCCTTCAGTCCGCAGACCACCACTCTATCCACCAAGCCAAACCAGCTAGGGCAAACAATGACTTTTATATTAGGGGTTCCCAACTTTAAATCCATGAAAGGGCTTTTAGAAGCCCCATTTTTACCTCAAATGATAGGGAACATTTTAACTTTAATATTTTCATTTCCTTGAGGGAAGAGGTCCATCTATTCTCTACCAGATTTTCAAAGGACTCACCACCAGAGAAAAAGGTCCTAGACTCAATTATATCTTTTAGATACAACATCAACTTTTCCTTTTGCTGTTCAGTTTCTCAAGAGTTGTTTACACTCTTGGCATTGATTTTTCTCACCACCCATTATTTCTTTCTTGTCTCTTGTATTGAATATAACAGAAACAATAACTTTATATTAACAGAAGCAGAAAATATGCATAAAAATATAGACAAGAATAAGAAATTTAAGAGGAGAAACCAAGATGGCGGCATAGGTAAACACCAGAGATTGCTATCGCGCACAACCACTTCAAAAATACAACTAAAAGACGGAACGGACATCACCCAGAACCACAGGAAGGCTGCCTGAGTGGAAATTCTACAACTAGAAGAAAAGAGAAAAGCATACCAAGACTCAGAGGAGGTGCGATGCGGAAGTAAAATACTAAGGTGCGGAGGTGCATGCAGAGCTGGCTGGCGGCTGAGGGCGTGGTTGTCTTTTTCAATCGGGAGGGATTCTCAGGCTCTGAGCTCCAGCTCCGAGCAAGTCTCTAGGGACCCAGACTCAAACGGGAGAAGCGGGACGGTCTGGCATCAGTCGGAACTCGAGGGCAGCTTTCTCTCCGAGGTACTTGAAGCAATTGCTGGGACACTGAGAAGCAGAGCCTCTGAAGGCAGGACTGAGAGCAGCCATAACTGCATGCTCCACTCACCCTCTTGATCCCCTGGGGCCCGCCACACCCAAGCCTTGCACACAGGCATTTGCTGGATAGCCTCAGGCAGAGGCTAGATTAGCGCCTCCCTAGAGATCAGGACAGAAATTCTCCCACTGCAGACACAGCTGATTCTCACAGCCAGTTGGCCTGGAGGTCAAATCCCCCCCAGTGTTACCTACAACAATCAAGGCTTAACTACAACAAGACTGTGCACAAAGACCACAAGGGGGTGCACCAAGAAAGCATAAAAAATGCGGAGACAAAGAAACAGGACACAAAGGACAGAAATGGAGGAAAGCAAACTGCTGGATATAGAGTTCAAAACCACACTTTTAAGGTGTTTCAAGAACGGTCTAGAAGCTGCCGATAAATTTAGTAAAGCCCTCGAAAAGACTGGTGAGAACGCCGATAAATGTAGTGAGATCCTCAAGAAATCTAGTGAGACCCTCGATGTTGTGATAAAGGACCAACTAGAAATTAAGCATACACTGACTGAAATAAAGAATATTATACAGACTCCCAATGCAGACCAGAGGAGTGCAAGAATCAAGTCACAGATTTGAAACACGAAGAAGCAAAAAACACCCAACCGGAAAAGCAAAATGAAAAAAGAATCCGAAAATACGAAGACAGTGTAAGGAGCCTCTGGGACAGCTTCAAGCATACCAACATCAGAATTATAGGGGTGCCAGAAGATGAGAGAGAGCAAGATATTGAAAACCTATTTGAAGAACTAATCACAGAAAACTTCCCCTACCTGGTGAAAGAAATAGACTTAAAGTCCAGGAAGCACAGAGAACCCCAAACAAAAGGAATCCAAAGAGGACCACATCAAGACACATCATAATTAAAATGCCAAGAGCAAAAGGAAAAGAGAGACTCTTAAAAGCAGCAAGAGAAAGACAGTCAGTTACATACAAGGGAGTACCCATACGACTGTCAGCTGATTTCTCAACAGAAACTTGCAGGCCAGAAGGGAGTGGCAAGAAATATTCAAAGTGATGAATGCCAAGAACCTACAACCAAGATTATTTTATCCAGCAAAGCTATCATTCAGAATTGAAGGTCAGATAAAGAGCTTCACAGATAAGAAAAAGCTAAAGGAGTTCATCACCACCAAACCAGTATTATATGAAATGCTTTAAGAAGAGGAAGAAGAAGAAAAAGGTAAAGATACAAATTATGAACAACAAATACACATCTATCAACAAGTGAATCTAAAAATCAAGGGAATACATAATCTGATGAACAGAATGAACTGGTGATTATAATAGAATCAGGGGCATAGAAAGGGAATGGACTGACTATTCTTGGGGGGAGAAGGGGTGTGGGGGATGCGGGAAGAGACTGGACAAAAATCGTGCACCTATGAATGAGGAGAGTGGGTGGGGAGTAAGGGCGGAGGGTGGGGTGGGAACTGGGAGGAGGGGAGTTGTGGGGGGGAAAAAAGAGGAACAAATGTAATAATCTGAACAATAAAGATTGCATAAAAATAAAAAGAAGAAGAAGAAGAAAATAGCCCGGCAAGGGTGGCTCAGTCGTTGAGTGTTGACCTATTAACCAGGAGGTCATGGTTCGATTCCCAGTCAGGGCACATGCCTGGGTTGTGGGCTTGGTCCCCAGCATGGGGCTGTACAGGAGGTAGCCGATCAGTGATTCTCTCTCGTCATTGATGTTTCTATATCTCTCCCTCTCTCTTTTCCTCTCTGAAATCAATAAAAATATATTTAAAAAAAGAATAAGAAAAAAAAATCCCATATTCTACCAGTCATTGATTATTACTTTAGCACCTTAATACCTTCTGGATCTTTTATATACATACTAGAGGCCCGGTGCACAAAAATTTGTGCACTCGGGGGGGAGGGGAGGTCCCTCAGCCTGGCCTGTGCCCTCTAGCAGTCTGGGACCCCTCGGGATATAACGACCTGCTGGCTTAGGCCTGCTCCCAGGTGGCAGAGGGCAGGCCCAATCCCTAGGTGCAGCCCCTGGTCGGGCTCAGAGCAGGGCCGATTGGGGAGTTGGGGCGCCGCCCCCTGTCATACACAGAGCAGGGCGAATTGGGAGGTTGTGATTCCACCCTAAGTCACGCTCAGGTTGGGCCAATTGGGGGGTTGGGGCACCATCCCCTGTCACACTCAAGGTAGGGTCGATGGGGAGGTTGCGGCGCCACCCCCTGTCATGCACAGAGCAGAGCCAATCAGGGGGTTGGGGCGCAGCCCCCTGTCACACACAGAGCAGGGCCCATCAGGGGGTTGGGGCACCGCCCTCTATCACCCACAGAGCAGGGCCGATCAGGGGGTTGGGGTGCTGCCACTCTCACACTCAGGGCAGGGCCGATGGGGAGGTTATGGCTCTACCCCGTCACACACAGAGCAGGGCCCGTGGGGGGAGGGGGGGGAGATTGGGGCACCGCACTCTGTCACACACAGAGCAGGGCCGATCAGGGGGTTGGGGCGCCGCACCCTGTCACACACAGAGCCGCAGGGCGATTAGGGGGTTTGGGCGCTGCCCCCTGTCACACTGATCCCGGTGCTGGGAGGCCTCACAGCTCCGCTGATCCTGGTGCTGGGAGGCATATTACCCTTTTACTATATAGGGTAGAGGCCTGGTGCATGGGTGGGTGCCGGCTGGTTTGCCCTGAAGGGTGTCCTGGATCAGGGTGGGGGTCCCCACTGGGGTGGCTGGCCAGCCTGGGTGAGGGGATGATGGCTGTTTGCAGCTGGTCACACACCCTTCAGGGTGGGGGTCCCCACTGGGGTCCTGGCCAGCCTGGGTGAGGGGATGATGGCTGTTTGCAGCTGGTCACACACCCTTCAGGGTGGGGGTCCCCACTGGGGTGCCTGGCCAGTCTGGGTGAGGAGCTGAGGGCTGTTTTCAGGCTGGGGGTGACTGAAGCTCCCAACTGCTCCTTTTTTTCTTTCTTTTTTTTTTTTAATCTGGGCCAGCTTTAGCTTTGAGGCTTGGCTCCAGCTCTTAGGCCTCCGCTGCTGAAAGTAGGTTTCTGGCCTTTGCTTACAATGTTGCGATCCTGCTGGCTGAAGCCCGGCAGGTTTCTCGGGTTTTGTTTAGCTTCTAT